CGAAAGACGAGCACTGGATCGAAGAGTCGAAGAGGGTGAGCGGAGCCTCATCATTTGGGCTCTAGATTGCATCAGCAAAGGAGAAATTGATCAGCTTGTTGCTCCAAGTCTGAGGGCTCAAATATCACCAGAGAGCCTGATGACATTTCTAGAAGTTGCTAAAAGATGCTTGCATGATGATCCAAACAAACGGCCTACAATGGCTCAAGTTGTGGTACAACTTGAATCTGCACTGGAGCAGCAGGAAAGCTCAAAATCTTCTGCTCCAGAGATAACTTGTTCTGATAGTGTCGTGCCTTGTGCTGGGGAAACTCTCCATTCAATTAGCTCTGAGATAGAAAAAATGTCCTCTGTGGATGAGCAGCATATGCCAATCTCTCTGATTGAAAGAAGCAAAATGGTTCAGAATGCTGAGCCATCAGGCAGAGGAGCACAAGTGTATAAGAGAAACATAAATGCTTATAAGCNTGAAAGAAGCAAAATGGTTCAGAATGCTGAGCCATCAGGCAGAGGAGCACAAGTGTATAACAGAAACATAAATGCTTATAAGCTACCACGATTTTGGCCCTGGAATGCATTATGGAAAAGGGCAAACATAACAAAGAAAAACCACTTATCAATACCAGGTAGTGTAATGACTGCATACAAATTTGATAATAACCCCATAACTGGAAGTGATTTCAAATGGTTGTCTCAGCAACTCACCCTAAGCTCAATAAGATGCTATAGACGTGGTTTAACATATTATGTATTCTTCTTTTTTGGTCTTTTATCCGTTTAGCTTGTGGATTCATTACGATGAAGCTTACACAGAATCATTTATAATTAGAGCAGCCAAGCTAGAAATTAATCTTAGGCTTGTTTGAGACATCTATCTCATATAAGTTCTATATCTCAAATATTTTTTATCAAAATGCTTCTCATTTTTTGATGTTTCGGTAAGTGTAGAAATGAAAAGGAGCGCCAAAGAAGGATACATGCGATCCCAAATTTATTGGGAGTTAAACTTTAGTATTTTGTTGTTGTTTTTGTTGTGAAATAGTGATTTCTGGCATTAGCGGATGTCTTCTGAAATTTTTGAAGTAATAAACGTTGTTTGTGTGTACGTTATCTTATAACTTGAGCTCTTAATTGAGCCTGGCAAATCACAGTAAGTGAACATGTCAAGCTTGATTCCTTTGATAATTAGAACTGGCAAGCTCGAACAAACTTTTTTATTAGTCAAATTCAATTTGAATAGCACTAGGTTCAATCAAATTTA